TATATAGATAGATATATAGATATATAGATATATAGATAGATATATAGATATATATCTATATATATATATAACTTTTGAGATTGCTTTAAAAAGCAACCTTTGTGGGATAAGAGATAATAGTTTTCTTTGTATTTTTCCGTTCTTTCATTCGCTGATTTTCAGAAGAAAAAGCAAGTTTGTGCTTCCTGACAGAAAGTGCTGCACTGATGTTTCATATAAATGCCGCATTCACTGTCACCATGTATTCTGACACAAAAGCTGACACTACTACATATTTTAAGCTGTTACAGCCACTTTAGGTACAAACTCTCAGCTGATGCTCATGTGAAAATGAATGTTTACATATTATTAAGAATGTAGCTAAACCTGTTGTACAAACAGCAAACTGAAAAACAGACACCTGTGTTCTCATTGTGTGTTTTATCAGACTCTGAGCTTTATTAACTACTCTTAAAATATGTATTGGTTAGTGTTCCTGCAAGCTTATTCCTGCTCCTGAAGGAAGCTACAAGCAAGCACATGGCAATCACAGCAGAACAGTAATATTTTCAAACGCTTGCCTGTCAGATTTGCATCTGCTAAATGAACTGGAGCTCTTCATAGTGTTTACAAATGGTACGACACAGTAAGATTTCCTTGTGTTTGCATAAATTCTTCTGGCCTGTTGATGAGAAGGTGTTAAAGTGCCTCCCTGTGGTTGAGAAGTAAACTGGCCTATACTCATGTGTTTTATTTGCACTGTAGATTTTGTACATTTTTTATGACTATACAAATAAAATGTTTATTGGAAGATGGTTAACATTTTTGTTTTTATTAATAATGCTTCTGGCCTTTCTGTCATACTAATAATTTGTATTTTTCAAGAGAGACCTGAGTGTTCTTACACACTACAACTGTCACTCACAGGGGAGATAAGCCTTTGGAGGGCCTGGGAGTTCCCAGAGAGGTGGAGTGTAAGACCCGACCTGACATATATAGACACGGACAAACAGGCACAGACACAAACATGCATTCCCACCCTCATGCACACATATACAAATACTTAGCACTCACCCAACGTAGGGATAGACATACATGGACACTTGTACACACAATCACACTCCCCAAACAAACTCTATACCCAAGGCCCAGCCAGAGCCCTAGCACGGAGGCGAAGCACCCCCGAACCCCAGCCTGCCACACTGGTGATGGCAAGCTATATTGTAGCCACAGCCACCCTGGGGCGCACTGACAGAGGCGAGGCTGCCGGACACTGGCGGCACCGGGCCCTCTGACCACCACCAGAAGGCAGCGGGTGAAGTGTCTTGCCCAAGGACAAAACGACTGAGAATGTCAGAGCCGGGGCTCGAACTGGCAACCTTCTGCCCCATGGCAGATCAACACTACTAAAAGTCATCAAGCATCATCATGACGTCTGCTTTGGTGTCAGATCCCCAACAGCCCTGTTAACCAACCTTACCTATAATCCTTGGATAGAAGGCACACAACAATCATCATAAATAGCTGTAAAAACGAATAAGGAAACCCTAATGGACCTAATACACCCCTTCCATTGCCCAAGACTAAGTGCCAACTCTCATGAGCACATTTGCAATGTGTGTATGAAAATAATTATAAAACATTCTCAATCTTAACATTTTCCCTGCTTTCACACATTTTAATGTGTGAAATGATTTATGCTTCTCACTGGTTCTCTAGAAAAAGTCTGGGAACTTTTGGGTCATGATAATCTTAAATTTATCATACCGAAATTATTAAACACACAAATAAAGTGTAAATTTAACAGAAAACATCAGAAATTCTCCTGTAGCTTTGCTCCAGCCCTGCTACCCTGTTTTGGGGAATGAAATCAGTTTAATTATCATGTTAACCTGTTGAACTCCTGGCTCCGCCCAGAGCCTGCATCCACAGAGCTGCCTAGAAACAAAACCTGTGTGTTAATATGAACTTCACATTTGCAACTCCGTTTTCCCCCATCGTCTTTCCCTCACTGACCACAGCAGAGGAATTTATGTCCTGATTCAGCCATGAATCCAGCTCACCTGATTCATCACTGAACCCAACCGTCACTGGCATCTGATAGTGCGGCACTGCATTTTGTTCCCTTAATGTCACTGTTTTTCAATCTGTTAATTAGAGTCCTTAAACATGAAGTATACCACGTCCACCACAAGTCAATACAGCTGTGAATGTGGCCACTTATCAATCAATTACCAATCAATGACAAAATGATAGCTTTTATTTTCTGCATGTTTTAGTCAACCACTCACCCAGAGGATCTTCAATCCCAGAAAATTCCTTCTCCTCATTTAATAATATCTGTTATTCTTCCATGCCCTGGTAACTGGCCCGTCCGGAGCTGTATCATTTTGAAATATGCATACAACAAGCCGAACCACACCTTGGTGACACCAACCCTTTTTCCACCCTGAGGATGTCCAACGCCATCCTAGTCTGGACTGTCAAAGGTGACTTTATCGCTGACCATTCTGACAGTCCTGTTTATTGCATTTCCTGGTCAGATTAGCCAATTTCAATGAATAAACATAATCCACATAGTCAACATTATATTGAGTGTTATTTCAAAATATTATAGATTCGTACCACCAATCTCTATGGGGTTTGCTAAACTATATTCATCTATAATTCCTCTATGTCTCTAAATCTTTGGAGAATTTTATGATTGGTGTCAAATTTTAGGAATTTCACCATAAGTGAAATTTATGGTGTTATCACCCCCATCAGGACTTACCTTTCCCACTTTTGGTGATATTCCTCCCTTGAACATTTGCAATTAACCTCCTTTGGCATGAAAAATTGGTGGCGTGGTCAAGTGGGTGCTATAGGAAACAAAAGCTCAGGACAGAACAGTTATCAGTCATGTGTTACATACAAAATTTGCATATATTTTATTTTATGTTGATCCTCTGAGTATAATGGTACATATTAATTTAAATTTATCAAAGTTAAACACAATGGGTATTCTTAGTTTACTCTGGTCTTGTTCTTTTGCAGTACCACATCCTAGCACCTTTCTCCAGTGTCCATGCTCGCCGCAGGTGAAACCTGCATCTTCTTCTGTGTTTTCTGCGTTCTGAGGTGTCTTTTGAGCTCAGTTGCTCCTTCTGTCTCTGACATACTCCTTTCTCTGCTGCCCGATCATCCGTGTTGGTGTGTCAGTGCCCTGCACACTGTTAATAAAGAGTTATCAAGGTCAGCGTTCTGTTGCTCGGCCTATCTTTTCATCCAGACTTGATGGGCGTGTCATCGCAGCTCTGTCAGCTGAAACTGTCTGGGAATTTCCCCCCATTTAGTGAAACAGGCACCCTCCGTCTCCATCTGTGTGAGATCCCTTTCTTGCAGCACCGCTGACATTTTGTTGTTGTGGGTCCAGCTGCTGCAGCATTTTGTCAGGGTCACGTTGAAGATGGTAGAGGGGAGAGCAGAAGTCTAGGTCAGCCTCGGCTTCCAGGGCCTGTAAAGCAGCCTGTAAATGGGCATAAAAAGAAAAAAGAAAAAAGAAAAACAGACAGGAGTGGACGAACAGGAAAATGATGTGCTGTTTCCTGTGTTACACGGAGAGTGGAGAAACGCCAGGCCGGGCCCTGTGTCAGCCTTCTCTCCCCCTTGTTTTTTAAAAAATAATATAATCAACTCGTAGCTCACCAAGATGACAGGACAACAGAAATGCATATTTAAAACATTACCACAAGTTTTCTTCATACAGTAATCACTTGCTCAATCAGCAGAAAACATCTCACAATTTGACTATCTTAACCACTAAATCTATTGTTTCATCACTGGCTAGTCATTCCAGTCTCTCAGTTTTTTTAAAGTTAAGCTGTTGTCCTGCAACCCGGAGAGTTTGTTTGTCAGTAGTGGATAAACTCAGCATTTAACAGCAAGTTTTTTTGATTCCTCAGAAGTATCCGATGGAAGACAAAACACTGCTCAGTACCATTTAACACTTTATTTCTCTTTCACAATACTTCTGGAAGGGATATGTGTCCTGCATGACATGTTGCTGCGGATCTCAAAATGGTGGTGTCCCCCTCACAGTTTTAATACTGGGCACCCTTATCTAGTCTAAACAATAGTGTCTCAGTAACTTTTCACTAGAAATGGTCCCCTCTCATCTACTTTTTCCCAGGCAAGCGTGAGCGAGAGTCTACAGCTTTCTGCTCCCCAGTGACACATAGTCTAATGGCTTTATTTTTCAGGGCTGTGTCCACTTAATACTATAATATATGACTGTATAACACTAATTAATAAAAAAGCATAGCATTATTGAGGCACTGCAAATTATTTAATCCCAACAGCACTCAACAACAAAATGGTAAATGGCCCGTATTTGTATAGCGCTTTTACTTAGTCCCTATGGACCCCAAAGCGATATACACTAAATTGAGTCAATCACCCATTCACACTCACATTCACACACTGGTGATGGCAAGCTACATTGTAGCCACAGCTGCCCTGGGCCGACAGAGGCGAGGCTACCAGACACTGGCGCCACCAGGCCCTCTGACCACCACCAGTAGGCAACGGATGAAGCGTCTTGCTCAAGGACACAGCAACCGAGACTGTTGGAGTCGTGGCTCAAACCTTCCAATTACAAGACGAACTGCCAACTCTTGGGCCACGATCGCCCAAATTGCATTTTATTTCTTCATGTCAAAATATGGGCCGCAAGTAGGGGTGACGTGGGCCGCAAGTGGCCCCCAAGCCACGAGTTTGAGACCCCTGTTGTAGGGTCTACCTTACAATATAAAACACCTTGAGGCGACTGTTGTTATGATTTAGCGCTGTATAAATAAAATTGAATTGAATTCTTGCACTTTTTAAACTATTAGCCTGCTTGGCCAGTTGTTAGCAAGTATTTACATTATTCAGTTATTACTGAATTGAACTGAATTATGTTGTAAACTGTCTGGATGTGCTTGGGAAGAGAGACATTATTTTATTGCATAATATAGTACTGATCACATCAGCTGATTGCACCACTCAGTACACTCAGCCACATAAGGAAAAATAATTTTCTCACTCCAGTTTCTCGGTCTGGTGAACCACTGGTCACCTGACTCAAACAGGGGCTCCTCCACACAGTCTTCATTCATATAGTGCCTCATGAGCCTGAACATTACAGCTGACAGGTGGATTTCCCTGTGTCAGTTTAGCTAGTCAAATAATGAAGAACCACTTACTGTTAAAGAAGCAGAGAGTGAAAGTGGATCATGGGTTTTAACATAAAACTCATTGTGGCACCAATGGGCAGCACAAAAGTGATCCCC